CTTGTTTTAACTTTGGCGGCTGTGATTGATAGTGTGACTATTCAGTGGCACATTCCTTGCTACCTTCTGCTACTCAACTCTAACACCACCATGATTTGATAGGGCCTCTACCGCCATCCTCACCTTAGGTGTTCTTATCCTGATTTGGAATGCCTCCAGGCAATCTACATCTTGTTTGTGTAGGCTGTTGTCGGTAAGACTGCAATGTGAAAACAAAGCGGAACAAGGTGCAGCCTATTCCCAGGTCCCCTCCCCTCCCTGGGCTGTCGGTGCTTGCCTGCCTTGTTGACTCCAAGGCTGCTGGGGGGGCCTGGCTTGCAAGATTTGGGACTTGAAAGCACAACTGAATTCTGCCTCACAGGGTTTGCAGTTTGAGCAGAGTCTTCGACCTTCTCGTCAGTTTTGAAAGGTTTCTGAAGCTGTGCAGAGCCAACTTTTGGTCTCCATCAGCTTCACATTTCCTATCCAAAAAATGTTGCTGTTGCTGAAGCTAGATGATTAAGAGCAGAGCACAAGGAAGAGTTCCTTCCTGACTCTCCCAAAAAATTTCCCAGCTTGTGTTACAGGGACATTTTTATTTTTTAAGAAAAAGTGCATAGCCACATAGGCCCTGTGGATGCAAAGAACATTAGCAAGAAGCTACTGGATAAAAGGTTACAGATTTCTCTCCCAGGTGCTAGGAAAATTCTTCTGGCTAATGAAATTTGTGGAATGTGTTGGTGCGTAACATTGCTTGAATCAAAGGCTTCCTTTCACATGGTTGTTTCTACTCACTTGGAAAGCCCTTGGCTTTCCCCACAGCATTCTGGGGGCAGGAAAGAGGGAGAGAAGCAAGTGCAGAGAACTCAAGTAGCCCGATGTCCATGGAGATTCTCCATCACCCAGGTCCCAAAGTTGCTTTTTCAAGAGGCAACTGGACTTTCTTGGTTTTCCTTTGAAGACGTTTCGCTTCTCATCCTTTAGCTTCTTGGATGAGGAGCGAAACGTCTTCAAAGGAAAAAACACCTTTGGAACACGAGTAGCCAGGTATAGATTGTCCCTAGATTGTCAAAGGCTGCTTTCAAACGGCAAATGCCATCCATGCAGCTCTTGATCTTCTGCAGAGCTCTTACTAGCTGGAGCTTTCTGGCCAGTCGGCCTCCTAGATGAGCAGAACCGGCCAACCCAACAGAAAACAGAGGAGCACAATAATAATGCTCTAGGTATAAACGTCTTTCCATGCTTCTGTTATGAGTGCCACCAGTCCTGGGATCCTACTGTGAAAAGTACCCCCATGTGTAATTGGTAGAAAGGAGAGTTTTTAAGCAAACGATTTCTTCCTTTGTGTCCATGAAGGCATTTAAAAGTCTTCCAGTGCACCACACGAGCTGAGGATCTGTAAAGCCTCCCTGTGCCCAGAGTCGTGGGGAAACAGTTCTAGTGAAACACAGGTACTGGTGAAGCTCCTTGGAAGGAAGCACAGAACCTGTTTTATTTTCAGCTTGAAAAGAGAAAAGTTGCCTTTGCTCATTCAGGGCAACCTGTGGTTGAAGAGCAGAAAGGAAGAAGTTCTCCCCAGTGCTGTCGAATCTCTCCCTTGCTTGTTGTTTTGCCTGCAGCCGTCGCAGAGATCTTGACTCCACCATGGAGCAACCCTTTCAAATCTTGGTGGAGCCGAAGGAAACCTGAGTTGCAGCAGGAAATAATGTGCTTAGCCATGGATGGGAGGGAAGAACCTCCTCACCTTCCAAGCTTGGCTCCGTTCCTTTCCCTCGTCAATTCTGTGGTTGGGCTTTTCTTTCAGGCCTCCAGGCAGAATTACAGGGAATTAAAAGTGATTCAACAGGGCCAAGACAGAAGAGCCCCTGTTCCCCTCTTAAAAGGTGTGATGATCTTCTGTTCCTCAGGTGACTCATAAAGCCACAGGAAAGGTGATGGTGATGAAGGAACTGATCCGCTGTGATGAAGAAACGCAGAAGACCTTCCTAACCGAGGTGAGTCTCCTTTCTGAAGAGGGCTGCCTTGAAGATGTCCCGGCAGCGGAGAGCCCTTCCAATTAGATCGCACAGAGAGAGCCCGACCAATTAGATCGCACAGACTGGGCCTCCTCCGAAT